TAAGCAGTAAAACCGCAAACCCTCTTTGCTGCTGCTGCTGCTGCTGCTGCTGTCATCTTCAGGGGAGTCATCGTTGCTGCTGCTGTTGTTCGCACCGCCGTCACCGCTGCTGCTGCCGTTGCCGCTGCTGCTGCGCTGTACCGCATCCTGCTGCTGCTGCTGCTGCTGTTGCTGCTGCTTCTGCAGCAGCAGCGCGTCGTTGAGCGTGCGGACCACAGCAGCAGCAACATGAGACTTCCCAACTCCAGTCGGGCCCCACAGCAGCACCCCGCGCGAACAAACAAGCTTGCTGCTGCTGCTGCTGCTGCTGCTGCTGCTGCTGCTGACTGCGTCATTTTCGGAAGGCTCTGCGTCGATGTCTAACTGCTGCTGCTGCTGCTGCTGCTGCTGCCCCTCTAGAAGGTGGTTGGTGAGAAAAGGCAGCAAAATGTGTTTTGTAATTTTGTCTCTTAAAGCTGCGGGAATTCCCACAAGTGTCTCCAGAGACACTTCAGGCAGCTTGCTGGGAGCAATTGCCGCTGCTGCTGCTGCTGGCTCTGGCGCTGCAGCAGCACGGCCGTTGGCTTCTACCCGCGCTGCAGCAGCAGCTGCTGCTGCTGCTGCCAGCGCTGCTGCTGCTGCTGAGCGTCGGGCCGCCCGCCGACGCTGCTGCGCCTTCCTGCTGTCTCCATCGGACTCTTCTGCTGCTGCTGCTGGTTTTGCTGCTGCTTCTGGCGCTGCTGCTGCTGCTGCTGCTGCTATATCTTGCGGCGCTTCCGCTGCCGCCGCCGCTGGGGCTTCGGGTGCAGCAGCAGCGGCACTGGCTTGCTGCTGCTGCTGCTGCGCCTTGAGTTTTATTTGTCGCTGCACCTGCTGCTGCAGTTGCTGCTGCGCGGCCTGCAGGGACCCCTTAATTCCCGGTTCTTGCTGCGACTGCTGCTGCTGCTGCTGCTGCTGCTGCTCTTGCGCCTGCTGCTTCTGTCTTTGTTTCGCGTAAAGCGAATTCAATGACTCATTAATTGGGCGCAGCATTTCCGCTGCTGCTGCTACTGCTGCTGCTGCTACAGCAGCAGCTGTTGCTGCTCCCTTTGCTGGTGGTGCTGCTGATCCGGCCCTGCACCACTTGTTGCCCTCGCCAGTGCTATTTGCTGCTGCTGCTGCTGCTGCGTCTCCCTCTCCTTATGCTGCAGCTCATTTATCACTAAAACCCCAATTCTAAAACCCTAAACCCTCGAGTGTGGGGCCCCCCATCGAAGTCCCGGGTTGCAATGAAACCCTAAACCCTAAACCCTAATCCCTAAACCCTGGCAAAGGGAGCCAGTAAATGCAAAGTCTTTCTAAATTTAGTCTTTTTAGGGCTAAGATTTAGAGGGTTAAGGGTTTAGGGTTTAGGGTTTGGGGCTGGGCAGCAGCCCCAGCTGGCTCAATCTGCGTCGATCCAGTCATGCTGCTGAGGGTTCACTGAAAACATAAACTCTAAACCGTAAACCCTAAACCCTAAACACTAAACCCTAAATCCTTAACCCTAAACATTAAGATCCGGGAGAGCAGATACGGTTAAGGGTCTCCGTTCCACCTAAACCCTAAACCCTAAACCCTGAACCCTAAACCACAAAGATTACGACCTCGGGAAAGCAACTAGGCTTTAGACTCTCCCTTTCAAGGATTCAAGACTTCACGCCAAAAACCCTAAACCCTAAAACCTAAAACCTAAACCCTAAACCCTAAAAACAAACCCTATACCCTAAACCCTAAACCCCGGTTCTTAAGCAATGAGCCTCAGGGGTTTGGGGTGTACGTACACCCCAGAGCAATTTGTCGAAAATTAGAAATAAATAAAATTTTGAATAAAAGAAACTAAAGCGAGAAAAAGCCTTTACTAGGGTTTGAGGAGCGCCTCCAAACCCTAAACCCTAAACCCTAAACCCTAGACCCTAGACCCTTTTGTCCGCTGGCTTTCACTCTGGGCCGCCAAGCAACATTGCTCTAAACCCTAGGGTTTAGGGTTTAGGCCTCCAGCGGGGTGTCCAGACACCACAAGGAAATAAATCCGTCGTCTCCAGCGGAAGCCAAATGGAGAACTGCAGCAGCACAACTCATGTGTCCGTACACCTCAGCTCTCTTGCTGCCGCTGCTGCTGCTGCTGCTTTTGCTGATGCTGCTGCCGCTGCTGATTAAATTTGAGGCAAATCCAGAAAACATTTTTTAAAGAAGTAAAGAAAAGATAAGTAATAAAGCCTTTGCAAATGCAAATGCATGCAGTCTACAGCAGACAAAGGAAACAAAAAAGATTTAAAAAAATAAAAAGAAAAAAGATTAAAAAGAATAAAAAGATGAAAAGAGATAAAAGGAGACAAAAAGAGAAAAACGAAAAACGAAATTAAAAAAGATTAAAAAACAAAGAGATAAAAGAAATTTAAAAAAATAAAAAAGTAAAAAGACAAAAAGAGAAAAAAGAAAAAAAGAAAAAGGAGAGAGTGTACATGCATGCACATTCACGCACACTGCCGTATTTAATTCTCAGCCAAACCCTAAACCCTAAACCCTGAACCCTAAACCCTAAACCCTAAGCCCTCAGCTTGCCCTCGCCGTCGTCGTTCCGCCAGGCCACCCAGTTCACATCACACTCATGGGCCTCTTCCTGCAAAGCCGCACCGTCCCTCTAAACCCTAAACCCTAAACCCTAGAGAAGCCGTAAGCCCTGCACATACCTGGACCCTAAACCCCAAACCCTAAACCCTAAACCCTAAACCCTCACCTCGCAGTGTAAGAGAGTCGCGCCGGTCTCTGTCAGCAAGTAAATGCGAATGCAACCATCTCCGCAGGCCTGGCCAAACAAAATGCCAAACCCTAAACCCTAAACCCTAAACCCTAAACCCTTACCCGATGCCCTGAGCCCTAAACCCTAGACGCTGTAAGTTCAAGGCCCCAGTCTGGGCCTTCTGTTCCAAGTATTTAACCTTCTGATGAGCTCCAAAACCAAACTCTAAACCCTAAACCCTCACGACAAGGCTCACCGTAGCTAGTAGGTTTTTGGTAGGGTGTACAGACACCCCGTAAACCACCCCCCGGTGCTGCCCCTGGACCGAAGCCAAGCAGCGCCACGCCTCTGGCTGCTGCTGCTGCTGCTGCTGCTGCTGCTGAGGATCCTCAGTCCCTTCGTCTGCTGCTGCCGGCGCTGCTGCTGCTGCTGCACTTGCTGCTGCTGCTGCTGCGTCTGCTGCTGCTAAGGGACGCAAAAATGGGGCCACACACCACTGCGACAAACTCGGGAGGCGCCGTGCAGGAGGGGCCCCAGGTGGAACACCTGGCCGCAGCAGCAAACCCTAAACCCTAAACCCTAAACCCTAAACCCTAAACCCTGGAGGTGAGCTGTGTCTTGTCAACGCCCACGCCGCGAACGGCGATGGGCGCTGCGTTTGCAAACCCCAAGCTGCGGCCCCGAGACAAACCCTCGCCCGAGCAGTGGAGCCTAGTGTTTAGGGTTTAGGGTTTAGGGTTTAGGGTTTGTACAGGTCCACAGCCGCAAAGTCCTGTCTGCAGAGCCCGAGACGAGGCGGCTGCCGTCCCGCAAGAAGGCGAGTGTCCATACAGTTGAGGAGTGGCCCCGCAGGGTCTTCAGCATTACCCTACAGCGCAAACCCCAAACCCTAAACCCTAAACCCTAAACCCTAAACCCCTAAGTGAGTCGTGGCCCGTCTCAGACCCTAAACCCTGAATATTAGCAGCTAAACTCCCCTTGGAAAAGCCCGCAAGGCTGCCGGCAAGAGGGCTTGAGCCGGGCCTATGGTTTAAAGACGAGGGTTTAGGGTTTACAGTTTACGGTTTAGGGTTTACCAGTCGTCTTCTCCCAAACCCCAAATGGCAATTGTGTCGTCATAAGAAGCAGAAGCCAGCCAGTCCCTTTTGGGGTGCCACTTTACGGCCTTCACGTCTGCAGCAGCAGCCCAAACCCTAAACCCTAAACCCTAAACCCTAGACCCTAAACCCTAAACCCTAAACCCTAAACCCTAGACTGCGTGGCATCGAAGCTGTCCAGTGCCCCTTCGCCATTTTACACCTTGGGAGTGGCCGGTCAGAACAGAAGCAACAACGAACTCCCCCTCTTCCTCATCCTGCTGCTGCTGCTGCTGCTGCTGCTGCTGCTGCTGCTGCTGCAAACCCCAGTCTTCTGCGCAGTCCATCCGCTTGTGAATCCAAATGCTTTTGTCTCTGCTGCAAGTCGCCAGCAGCGAGCCAGAGCAGTTCCAGGCCACGCCCTTCACCTGCACAAACCCTAAACCCTAAACCCCAAACCCTAAACCCTAAACCCTTAATGTGCAGTTTCAAGCCAAGGCTCACATTTTTATCGTTCAGCAACTGCTGGCGCGCTTTGTAGCGCTTAACAATGCTTAGCACGCACCTCAAGCACTAACTCTAAACCCTAAACCCTAAACCCTAAACCCTAAACCCTTACCTCATTCTCGTGCCCGACGAGGGTTTGCAGCAGTCGAACCTGCAGCTGCGCCTGCTTGGGCCTAAGCGCAGGCGCTGCATCTTCCCCCCCTTGCCGCTGCTGCTGCTGCTGCTCCACTTGCTGCTGCTGCTGCTGCTGCTGCTGCTGCTGCTGCACTGTCCACACAGAAGCAGTAGCATCGAAAGAAGCAGCAGCAAGCAAACGGCAGTCGGGGCTCCAGGAGACAGCACGAATGGCTCGAGTGTGCACGCCCTGCCCCGCTGTGGCCTACACACAAACCCTAAACCCTAAACCCTAAACCCTAAACCCTAAACCCTAAACCCTAAACCCTAGGCCCTGAAGTTTCTACGCCCCCAACCTTGAGCTCAGCACGAATGGCTCGAGTGTGCACCGGCTGCCCCGCCGTGGCCTACCCACAAATCCTAAGCCCTAAACCCTAGCTTGAAACTCTAAACCCTAAACCCTAAACCCTAGACGCGGAGGCTTACTAGGCAGCGCCAAGTCCCTGTGGGGCCGTCAGCTGCAGCAAACAGCAAAAGAAAAATAAAAATAAAAAAGGAAAAAGGGAC